TTATTGCAAGGTCTTATAAGGTCAAGGTCTAGTTTGAAATGCTGTCCTAGTTTCAAAACCTTAAATAATATTTTTCTCAATCTTGAAATCGCTTCTCACACAAATTTTGAGGTTCAACAGTTTTCTATTGGCAGTCAAAGGCTTTTTTTAAGGGGGGAAAATCATCGAATGACTGCTGAGGCGGGAGGGAGTGTCAGACTCTTACTGACTAAAAACCACCCCGTTCCTTCTCCTGCGCTTCGAGCCGGAGCTCCGGTAACCCGTTAGGTTCTCCGCGACTCCGAATCGGCATCAGCCCTATTGGGCCCCATCTGTGGTGGTCTGATGGCTTTTTGAGGCGCGCGCCGAACGCGACGCACCGTACGCTCGGGTCTGGTACTGGTCGGGCGGCGAGCCACCCATGCTCACCGTCCGCAGACCCGGCAGTCAAAGGCTTCACTAGTCGATTTGGAAGTTGTAGTTCAACAATGAATATGTTGTGACAACTTATGTGATGTTAATGAGGATGATGAGGAGAACCAGGCGGTGGATGTTCTGTAAAGATACAAGAAGTCCTATTCATAATTATATTAATTTAATCATTTGCAAACATGGGTACATAAAATGTGTTATCAAAGTTTACAGTTTCTCCATATTTTGCCTTCACTTGGCATGCAAAGATATGATAGATAGACGTTATAAAAATAATTATGTAATAAAATAAGGTTCATTAAATTGAATCATTACAAATAATTGTGTAAATAATAATGTTGTTAGAATACAATAATATCAAAGAAATTAGAATTTCTATTTTAGAATTTTAATTAGAATTATTAGAATTCATACCACTGAAGTCAATATAAGTCCTACATTATTAAATCCATTGGACATTCGAGTAACAGAATACATTTTTCGTTTACAAGAAGTGTGAAGTGTGGGAGAGCCATGCTTTGGCACGAATTGGCCGGCTCGGAGTGATATCACGGTCTCACAGAAAACCAACGTGAAGCAACGCTTGCGTTGTGTTTCGTCGTGTGAGTGAGGTTACCGGAGGCCGAATTACCCTCCCCTTCCCCAATCTCCCCAATCCCTGAAACCCCAACGATCCTCAAACGCCTAATCCCCAAAAGGCCGGTAACGCACTTGTAACGCCTCTGGTGTTCCAGGTGTCCATAGGCGACGCTGATTGTTTACCATCAGGTGATCCGTCCGCTCGTTTACCGGCTTATGCCATAAAAAAAACAATCATCATAATTTGTCTAAATAAGTTGTGACTATTTTCCTGCAATGACACAGTAATAGGACAATATATTGATAGCTTGAATTTGGAAACATGCCAGATGTATGAGGAACATTGCCACATATCTTGTGTTTTACCATCATTGAACTGGAAGCGTTTGATAGTGGTTGCATTCGATGCTTGTGAACTAATCGTTGTATGCATTAACATTGATTTTTGTTTAAGAGCCAATGTGTTTGTTATGCATAGAAGCATTCTTTATGTTGCGGAGAAATGGCTTATTTCCGTTTTTAAAATTAATTGTTGTCTTAGGTGCGAATTAACCCTGAGGACACGGTGGAACACACTGTCGCGGAATGCCCTGCGTGGGCTGAGCACCGCCGTGTCCTCAGGGAAGTGATCGGCGATGGCGACCTCTCGCGTCCGGGCCTAGTGCAGGCCATGATGCGGAGCGAGGGGGACTGGGATGCCGTCTCCTCCTTTTGCGAAGCAGTCATGCTAGCTAAGGAGGAGGCGGGACGAGAGAGGCAACGAAGCGCTGCCTCCTCGCAACCCAGCCATCGCGAAGGACACACCGGGCGTCGGGGATCGCGGGACGATCTCCGGCCACCGTAAGCGCGGGCCTGCGGACGGCGAGCATGGGTGGCTCCCCGTCCGACCAGAAACAGACCCGAGCGTACGGCGCGTCGCGTTCCGCGCGCGCCTCAAAGAGCCATCAGACCACCACAGATGGGGCCCAATAGGGCCGATGCCGATTCGGAGTCGCGGAGAACCTAACGGGTAAGCGGGGCTCCGGCTCGACGTGCAGGAGAAGGAACGGGGTGGTTTTTAGTCAGTAAGAGTCTGACACTCCCTTCTGCCTCACCCAGGCGGGAGCAGTCATTCGATGATTTTCCCCCCTTAAAAAAAAAGGTGCGAATTAAATTATGCAATAATTAATCAGCCACGATCACATAAATGTTACTATTTAGATAATCAATATCTTAAGTATTTCGTAAGGAAAGTACTATACAAGAAATTTATTTCTATTAATTACATTTCGAGTTAAAGAACATCGTGTATTATTAGATACTTTCACTTATAGAAGACAAATTAATGAAGAAGGCTATTGATTCATTCTTTTTACTTTTTGTGTATCTAATAAGATAACATAACATCCTTTACAACGCCTTTTATCCCCGAAGGGGTAGGCAGAGCTGCAAATTACGTCACTAATGCCCCTACAATGTAACATCCACTTTTCACTATTTATTTTATGAGTCCCATGTAATAGGGGTGAGCCTATTGCTATATACTGCGCAATTCCAGACTACATGCTACCACTGAAAATTAAAAAAAAAACCCATTCTTCTTCACGTACTTTGCCCGACCCGGGAATCGAATAGATTGCTCGGCAGTCGCACTTGGAAGCACTCGGCCAACGTTGTAGTGTATCTAAAAAATTACATTAAAATAGTGAATGTACTCAACTACTCATATTATGCATCTTCTTCTCGATCGCTTGCGTCATTTCTGAAGGTCGTGTCCCTTAAAGGCCTTCATTGCTCTCTGTGTTATTTCCCTCCATCTTGTCCTGTTTTCGGCTTCTCTCAGGGCTTTCGTAACAGAGAGTCCAGTGTAGTTGGCAACTTGGTCACACCATCGGCTAGGTGATCGGCCACGTGGTCTTTTTCCTTCCACCTTACCAACAACAACCAATTTGTCGAGGTTATCTGACTGGCGGCGGGCAATGTGACTGAAATATCCAAGAATTCGCTGATAACATACGGTCGACAGTCTAGTCTCTATATTGAGCTGTTCTTGGATTGACCTATTAGTTCGTCTGGCAGTCCATGGTATCCGGAGCATTCTTCACCAACACCACATTTCGAAAGTGTATTATGCATGTGTGTGCTTATATCGTCATTACTACCACATGTACTTAACAATACTTAATGACAACATTCAAACACAAATTCAAGATAAAGCTACAAGTCCCTTCTAAGTCAAAATCGCATCAATTCCAACTGAAATCTGTGATTCTATTATTTTGGTCGTTATCAGGCCCTTTATAGACCTTCCAAATGCCTTAATGATGGCCTCTGTAGATGATAGTCGAGATCAGAGGGTTTTACGACCTTTCAGGGTATGAACTTGGTGTATTATCAGCTTTGGAATCGATCTTAAGATAAATTATATCAATGTATAGTTTAGAAATGTAACATAAAGTATGGAAATAGGTAAATGTTCTAAATTGCGATGTCGCGCAGCCTACTGGTGTTGTTACTCTTCTCACACGAAGAAGGAATGAACATTAATCACTACACTTGCTCAATGCGCGTTGGCGATTTCAAACTTATAATTAGAAATTATAAGTCACATTTTCCTTCACCGTTTGTCAGTGATTTGACTGCACGGTTGGTGCGGTGGCTGGGCAACCGGCTGCCGTGCAACGTGTCGCGGGTTCGATTCCCTCACGGAACAACACTTTGTGTGATCCACAATTTGTTGTTTCGGGTCTGGGTGTCATGTGTATGTGAACTTGTATGTTTGTATGCTCCCACGACACAGGAGATAACCCTAGTGGCAACGTTTCAAAAAAAGTGATGTCTAAATAATCTAAGAAAATAATGATAACTGGGAAAATGTCACATTGGTACTGGCTATTGGTGAGTTTTGAACCCACACCGTCATGTATGAGAAGCGAGCGTCTTAGACCTTCGGGCCACCAACTAACTCTTTGTTGGATTAACATTTATCACACTGGCATTTTCGCTTATTCCTGTATCTAGATTTGTATCTGAAAAACTACAATTTTTAATGTGTAATCTTTTTTAATACCTACCGATGGGACTTAAATATTTATTTAAAATGTGTTTTCTTCTTTCTACGTCTGGGTGTTTTCTTAAACTTCTATAATATTGAATGCTAATATTGTTCTAAATTTTATAAAGGTTACCGTTAACTTTACAATTTCTTTTAGTCAAGTTAAAAGAGTTTTTAATATTAAGTGCTTATGTATTAATAAAAAACGTAGTCTAAAATTCCCTAAGGGCAATAGTCGCAGACAGAGTTTAGTTTTAAAACGTTGTAACAAAATTCAGTACCTAACTTTGTGGTAGTGGTTATCCAATAACAATACATTTCTTTTATAAATTTTGAGTTTATTTTTGTATCATGTATGTAGGCAACTTTTAAGTTAAAAACCTCCTGTGTAGCGCGGTAAAAAAATATATGGTAACGTAGAGATATCGCGTTCGCGCTAAAATTCAAAATTCGAAGCCCCGCCCACGCCTCGCTCGAGCGGGCCCGACGCGCGCTCGCGCCAACAGTCGCCGCCGAACCGCCGAAACGTTGAGTGAGTGAGTATGTTCGAAAACGCTTCGCGTTCCCACCAATTTTCTGTTTTTGAATTCGTTGTGGAAACATCCAGCCCTAATCTGTTACAATCTAGTATGGTACACAAGGATGACCTGTAGGCAAGAAGTTATGAATTCGACTTCTAAATAAATCACACTAGTATTTATAAATGTAAAAGTTTCTTTGTTTGGATGTTTGTCCGTCAATCACGCTGAAACTACTGAACGGATTTTGATGAACTTCGGTATGCACTTTTTATCTCGATTAAATACTCCCCTGGAATAAAACAGGAAAACGCGTAAAAATTAGTAAAGAATAATTAAAAAATAAGTAGCTAATAGATTCAAAGGGTGACTGAATTAATCAATTCCTCTCCATTTAGATTCTTCAGTGTAAAGAGATATCATAATAATATAAAATGTGTTATTTGTGGACTTTATAGCTAAGCTGAACTGCGGTTACAATGAAGTTGAAGTGCCATGCAGACAGATATGTCCGCCACAAAATTGTGAGATTGCCTATACCGATTATGCTTGTACCAATGAAACTGAGATCTGTGAAAGAGGTTGCGACTGTCTTCCCGACCACCTTAGGAATGGCAGCGGAATTTGCATACCGAATGACAAATGTCCTTGTAAGATATATTTTGTTAAAGCACTTATTATGATATACACTCAATTTTCATAAATTTTCAATTAAATGACAGAAAATAAGGAAAACATAAAATATATAAAAAAGCACAATGCAATAGCATGCGGAGATAATGTGTTAGTGTCTATTGTAACAACAAAATATTGAATTAACTAAAAATCGCGGGTTTCTCATGTGAATATACTGAGAAAAGCTCTACTAGTTTCGAACCACAGAGGGGTTCTTCCTCATGAGCAGCGTGCGCGGTCGCGGCGATGTCGCGCAGCCTACTCAAAATATTGTCACTTATATTTAAAACCAATTTTGATCACTAATAGAATTTTAAAACTGTAGGTATACAATATTGGTATTAACTACGCACTGATGCACTACATCAAAAATCTTAAAGAACACCTTAAACATTTGCACATCACTATGCCTCATACGGCACCAAACTTATATCTTTATATGTATAAAGAAAATCATGTGTGCCTTCAAACCAATTTGTATTTTTAGATCCGTCTACCCCCGTCTGTGGGATTAATGAAATTGCCAGAGACTGCAGGCGTATTTGCCCTCCACAGTCTTGTTTGAGCAAGTATGCTTTATTCCGTTGTGCAGAAAACATAACTTGTGAACCTGGATGTGATTGTGTTGCTAATTATCTGAGGGATGATAGTGGAAAATGTATACCGAGCGAAAAGTGTCCAGCGCGTAAGATCTTTGTGTCATTTTTTTCCATCTTCTTTTTCGTGTTTTCTTCCATTATCTTGTTTTTTCTTCTATTCTCTTGTTTTTTCTTCCTTTTTCTTCTTATTCTTCATTTTCTTCTCACTTGCTGTAATGTTAGGATTGTTCTACTACACAGTGTTCTTTCTTAAACTTTGTCGACTTGAGCGTTGACATAACCTTATTACTATTAGAATTTCACTCAGTAGAATCTACCAAACGGAACAATGCTATTTGACTTACGATGAGGAATCTTACTTTCGGATTTTCTTAAAATTATTTAGGTACCTAAATATTTAATTTCGTGAATCGATAACCTTATGTAAATCCCATACCTAGAGATTTAAAGACCAGTATTTTTTCCCAGCATGTGATGTTCCTGATCAGTGTAAGCGAACGTGTGCCGTGCCAAACCCCGAAAATTGTGACAATACTCGTCCAGAAGAAAATGTAGACGGCTGCAGTTGTAAAAGTGGTTACGTCCTCTCAGAAATAGGAGGCGAATGTATACCAATTGAGGATTGTCCAAGTAAGTTATTATAATGAAACTATTTTTTTCAAACGTTGCCTCACTCTAGGACTTCTCCTGTATCGTGGTTGCGTTTACAAACATCTACAAGTTCACATACACATGCCACCCAGACCCGGAAAAATAATCTGTGTATCACTCAAAAAGTTGTTTCGTGCGGGAATCAAATCCGCTAGACGTTGTGCGGCGGCCAGTTGCCCAGCTACCGCACTAATCGAGCAGTCAAATTTTGTTATACAATAGGAAAAAATAATCATTACCTATACATGAAGACCAGTAGACCATTTGGTCTACTAAATAGGAAAAATTATGACCTAGAACTGCTTCTAAGTTTAGAAGATGTTTAATAATGTTCAGCGTTTACTAGTAGACGGAACAAAATGGTATTAAATTGAATCTTTGCTTTCCAGCTAACCAAAGCTGCAATGGTGATCCAAACGCAGTGATAAAACAATGTCCACGGCCTTGTCCGGCTACCTGCAGTTCACCAAATGCCTTCCCCTGCAAGAAAATGTGTCTAGAGGTTGGCTGTGAATGCAAACCTGGATACCTCAAGCTAAATGGAACAGGTCCATGCGTTCTACCGAACAAATGTCCTGGTAAGTACATGGGTGATTTTAATTATGTTGCTTTTTTAAGCATTTCAGTTTAATTAAAGTACAACAAAGTGACATCTGATAGTTTTGAACTACTAGTGACTACCTGACATTATGTTCATGTCCTGTTCAGACAGAAAGTAGGGATATATGCTTTACTTCTTATGCTACTTCCACTCTGCTCGGCGCTTATTAATCGTAACGTTATGTTTTTCAGCCCATAGCATTCCTCGATAAATGTACTAACCAAAATCGGAACAGTAGTTCTTGAGGTTAGCGCATTTTTTTTATGGCATAAGCCGGTAAACGAGCAGACCGATCACCTGATGGTAAGCAATCGGCGTCGCCCATGGACACCTGAAACACCAGAGGCGTTACAAGTGCGTTACCGAGTTTTTGGGGATTAGGAGTTTGAGGATCGATGGGGATTTAGGGATTGGGGAGATTGGGGAAGGGGAGGGTAATTGGGCCTCCGGTGACCTCACTCACACGACGAAACACAATGCAAGCGTTGCTTCACGTCGGTTTTCTGTGAGGCCGTGGTATCACTCCTGTCGAGCCGGCCCATTCGTGCCGATGCCTGGCTCTCCCACACTTAAAAATTCAAACAAACAAGCTTTATTTATCATCGAATCTTAAAAATTCTATCCTTTTAATAATGAGTTAGAATTATAGATAACTAATTATTTTGTCTTCAGGTGGAAACCCATGCGGTAAAAGTGGTCGTTTCGTTGACTGTAAAGTGGACTGTCCAAATAGCTACTGTCCAAAAGATGACAATAGGGACATAACCTTCTGTGACCCTCCAGCAGGCTCTTGCTTGCCTGGTTGCATTTGCAATTTGAACCATAAAAAGAGAAGCTATGAAGATCCAACGTGCATCGTATCGTCTGATTGCCGTAAGTGTTTTTTAATGTTAATTTCCTTTTCCATTTGCGTTTGTTAAAAATGAAAGTTTGAATGCTAATTGATCGATTGTATTATTTGTATTCTGTCTACGTAGAAGCAATTTGTGAGGCTAGTTTCTTCTTTTTCTTTGTATGTCACGTATACCTATGATTTATATATCACACTTGTAACGGAACTTAATTGTATTCAGAATCGCACTTGTATTCAGTGAATTTAGTTATTAATATTATGTGAAATGAGACATTGTTACTCCCATGTTTCTCCTGAGAATTTATCAATCAAATACTTGGTGTTATTGAAATGCTGACAGTTGAAATTATACTACGATAGATTTACATCTAGTAAGAATGTAACGAAGCATTTGATTGGGATCCCTAGAGTGCTGGATAGGATAAACTTGTTGCCGAGTGTCTGTGAGCTGCGGGCTCAATATTTTGCCCTAGATTCTAGAACTTTGCTTTTTATCTTTTATCTCTTTCGAAACATGATGAGTAGGCTAAAAACAATTATTCAATAACGTGCCATGTGGAGTAAAAAAATGTTTTCTGGTATGAGATATTTTCTATTGATTTCGTAAAAACTGTCTATATTTTAGACACTCTTTGGACTTCCGTGGATTATTTTGGTAGTACTATTATGCTTTACAAGACCCGAAACAACACTTTGTGGATCACACAAAGTGTTGTCCCGTGCGGGAATCGAACCCGCGACACGTTGCACGGCAGCCGGTTGCCCAGCCACCGCACCAACCGTGCAGTCAATTAAAAATGATAAGTCTCTCCTACAGAAGATTTTACTTAATTCCTCTTTACAAAGGTACTCAATATTTTTATTTAACCTTACAGCTCCAGTAAATTGCACAAGGCCTTACGAAGTCTGGGACTCCTGCCCATCGGCGTGTCTCGCAGAAAGTTGCGAGGATGCTGATAGGCAACCGACTGTGTGTAATACTTTGGTATTGAACTGTGAACCACGTTGTGTATGTAAGAAGAAGCACTTTAGAAACTCCTCAGGAATATGTGTTCCTGTTAACAAATGTTGATGAACGTAAGTCGAATTTTCGTGTCGATTAATGAAGAATTTTAATAGATAGGCTGCCTCGTTGTTCTTCTGGTTGCAAGAGCGACTGCCGGACAAGGGGTCTTGTGTTCGATTTTTGGGTCGAGCAAAGTATTACTAGGTTAAAAAAATCTCAGTAGTAGAAGTAGTAGTGGAAAAGTGCCCGGTATACGGCAATAGGCTTACACCCTATTACATGGGGCTTATAACATAAATAGTGGAAATTGGGTGTTACATCGTACAGTGGCATTAAGTGCCGTAATGTGAACCTCTGCTTTTTCCTTCGGGGGTAAAAGGTGTGAGGGCATGTTATGTTTTAATAGATTTTTTAAATATCTGGTTCAGGAATGTAATGTACTCGATTTCACCTACGTGGTAGGTATAATAAGTAGTATGATTTTTTTTTGATACCCATTTATTTACTGTACCTACTGTTCGTCTATTTATTAGTTTCTTCAACTAGTACTACTATTCTGTTATTGTCTTCTAATTATACACTTTTTAAAGTGAACCTAAAGGTATTTTTGCTTTAAACTTTTATTATCCCAAGTGCAACTTTATTTGTTAAGGATTCTAATCACTTTATTCGTTTTGTTTTTCCAGCCTGCCGAGGACATCACAACTTAACCAAGACTTTGGGTTTTCTGTAAATAAACGATAAGACATTCAACCTTCTATTGTTTCATTTTTCTATCAAGGTTTCCTGTGATAGACATGATTGATCTTCCTGAAGATAATTAAGAGAGAGATTAAGATAAACTTACAATATTATGAATACTTACAAATTATAGGTGACGGCGCTGTTGGCGCGGTGGTTGGGTAACTGGCTGCCGCGAAACGTGTCGTGGGTTCGATTCCCGCACGGAACAACGTTTTGTGTGATCCACAGATTGTCGTTCAGGGTCTGGGTGTCATGTGTATGTCAACTTGTATGTTTGTAAACGCACCCACGACACAGGAGAAAATCTTAGTGCGGGGCAACGTTTTCCAAAAAAAGGAGGTTGACTATATTACATTAAGATAACCTGGGGGGAAAAATGGGGGACAGATTTCACGCATAAAGGTGCTCCCACACAGCAGTTATATATCGTTAGAGACTGACTTCACATTTGTTTTTAAACAAATTATAACAAAAGTCGTAGTAGTTGCCATGTTATAGGGAATATTACATGATGTTATCATGTGGTATAACGTTACTAAACTGTTGTGTGGGAGTTATTAGTTAGTTTAATTTCAGTAATAACATTCTGGATTGTGCCCGGTGAACCACAACAGGGTTATCCATTACTATTTGAGCCAACTGTAACCTTGGTCATCAACCAAGTTACCTGGTTGGATTGACTTAATTATACTAAAGAAAAGAAAGAAAGGAAAACTTATTTCACACGCTAAAACAGGTATATACAGGTTTCACTATCCTATCAACTACCCAATTGTTCCAATACGTAAAAGAAACTCGTACTAAGGCCTCTGGTACATAGGTACAGGTTTCACACATACGTTTATAAATATCTACTAATATTCCAAGTCCACGGTGAAATGGGAATGGTGGTGTGCAAGACAGGGCCTCGCGCTGGTATTCTACGGGCCCCTTAAGTGACTCGTGGACGAACAAGCCACCAATGGTCGATCACGAGAGCTAAACATCGCTAATTTGTTCTTCGCAAAAGTTTGTGCGTGGGAAGTAATGGGAAGACGAATCGTCTCATCAATCTTATGGTTTTGTTTCGGTTGTTTTTTAATATGAAGAATGTGTATGGTTCACAGGTCGAATGGCTGTTGATGGTGCTTCCAAGTTTGTGTTCAAGTTCGGTGAAATAAAAATTTTGTAATAAATACATCAGTTCGTAACTTAATGGTAATTATTAATTAAGTGTTACATTGAATCATTTCAGAGCTCATCACATATTATTATTTTTACATAATTACATAATTAAAAATTTTCAGTTGTAGCACGTAGTCTGGAACGGTGTCCGGTATATGGCAATAGACTCACCCCCTATTACATAGGACTCATAACATAAATAGTGAAAAGTGGGTGTTACATTGTACAGTGGCATAATGTGCACCTCTGCCTACCCTTTCGAGGGTGAAAGGCTTGATGAAGCCTATAAGTGGCCACTGCTGACCGAAGGCCTCTCTCTTCTCGCACGGAGAGGGTTTGATAATTAATCACCATGCTTAGTGGTGAATTAATATCATATTAATTTTTTATCGCATTGAATTCAAGCAATGTAATATTATCCCTAAACCATCTACATTGAAGTTGACATTACTTTATTAAATAATTTCCATTTGAAGTCCAATGAAAACAGAAACAATGGAGATTTACAATAACAAAGGCTAAAGCAAACTGAGAATTTAATATCGCGATTGTTTTAAAAAATGTAACGGAAACTGCACTTAGTCAATGCAGAAAGAATCTTCTCAGTAAGACTATAAAGTGCAAAGTTTGTTGCCTTAGTTGGCTGATTCTTTAAAAAGTTGAAGCATTGTGTTCTTTGTTATAGGTACCTACTTGTAATTTGTATCGATGGATTTATCATTGCTTGTCTGATGTGGTTGAGAAGATTTTGTCATTATGACAACATTTTGAACAATTTTTAGTATGCCATTTTATTGTAAAGAGTACCTACAGTTCCGAAGATCTTATTTATAATCTTGGGAAAACCATAAATTCAGCGTCTGCACGTCTTTTAACATAAAAACTTATAATTAAATTTAAATGTATGCTTACTAAATACTAAATTTTACATAGAATAATTATTTTTTAAACAATGTTTAAAAAAACTGTCTTCGACCGCCATTTTTTAAGTCTGTTAATTAATATATTAGAAGCTTCTCCTAACAAACACTTTTCTGAAAATCGCATCAAATTCGTTTCAGCTAATCGCGAGATAATCGAGCACAAACATACATACATATATACAGGTATATCTGTTTTAAGTCGGTTAAAAACGTCGTAGTTTGGCTTTTAATAGTTGTCATAAAGCGAACAGGCTGCCTCGTTGGCCGAGTGGTCGAAAGTGCGACTGCCGGGCAAGGGGTCTCGGGTTCGATTCCCGGATCAGGCAAAGTATTACTGGGTATTTAAAAAAAATCTCAGTAGTAGCACGGAATCTGGAAATGTGCTCGGTATATGACAATAGGCTCACCCTCTATTACCTCTACATTGGACTCATAACATAAATAGTGAAAAGTGGGTATTACCTCTGTGTACACCTCTGCCTACCCCTTCGGCGATAAAAGGCGTGATGTTATGTTATTTTATGTTAAAGCTAACAGAGCCTGACCCAAGTTTTAGTAGAGTACAAATTAAGCGAATACCAATCTTAAACACAAATATTTTACGTCTATTTGAAAATAATCTCGACCCAATCTTGCACAATGAACCCAAAAAAATCCCTAAAACCTTATATCTCTTTTATCTAACGTAGTTTACTTCAAAATTGAAACCCAAGCAGCTTGACATTAAGTTTGGGAATTCTTAAATGTCACCTCTATTTTTGAAGAAAATACTTCTCAAACTTCAAGTTATAAAAGTTTTAGTACCTACAAAGTGAACAAACTCCGTCGTCGGGGACGTTAGGGTGTCAAATTGATATTTTAATATTCCCTTATTGTCTTTTTCAATCAAATTTTAAAGTAATCTTCGGATTATTTAAGTTTTACTTGAGTGTCTAGTAATAAAAGTCCCTTCTTTTGTTTATAAATTGAGATGGAACAAATATTGAGCGAATAAGTTTCAGAATTTGGCGTTTCTTCGAGAATATTCCCTTTTATAACATGTTTATATGGTCTGCTGCTTGCAATGTCAATATCCTAAACGAGCCTGGATAACAAAGAATATTTTAGACAAATGAAATCATTACAATAACTAAATCCTTGTCAAGAGAAATAGGCTATTGTAACTGTTATCAAATTAAAACAAAAATCTAAATATTCCCTGTCTTATTTTGACGAAAAGATGAGCCTATCAGCAATATCGATAGCTCTTCAAAGAAACAGGTAAAGGTGATTTCTGATCCTGTTGCAATCAACCTTTTTCCTATTATTATTGGATTCCACAATCCACAATATTATACGTAACTTTATGGAATCCAAAAATGCTTATATCTTATTTTACGCTCAATAAACCTCTTCATCCATCAACCATTTTGTCTTTCTCGAGTATCTAATATAATTATGGATTTGTGGTGAGCTTCTATGGGTGATAGTGGAGTTCATCAATTCAACTACCGACATATTTTAATTTTTGGGTTAGTAATAATATTGGGCGTCAAACTATTTAAGTCTAAATTGAATATAACGTCTAAATTGCCATTATATTTATTTATTTAAGTAGCAGCTTCTGTAAACATAGTATTAAGAGATAACAAAGGTGACAATAGGTATTGGGATTATACAGTCGCCAATTATAGGTTAAACAACTTTACAATTAAGTGATAAATAAAAACTTAGTATACAAACGATCAAGAAAATAAATATTAATTACTGAAAAAAAAGAAACATTATTATGTTAAAGAAACATAAAATTAAAGACATTTTATAGAACTTTAAAAACGTTATATGATTTTTAACTCGTTGAGTACCATCATTACCTCTATAGACACAATTAAAGAACAATAGGTTGCGGTCACCGGAGTCCTCGCGGTGTTTGAAAGTTTAAAATGTTGCCTGCGATTATGACGATGAGTAAATTTTACTATATTAGTTCTATCTTATTCTATGAAACGACCTTGAACCCAAGGGTCGCGATAATGACCCCTAGTCCAGACATAAATCCATGTAAGTATTATCAGAAAATAGTGCTCTGATGTTCGAATATTCTAACATATTACAGAAAAGTGTTACTCGACGTGCCGGCAGCCATTAAATATTTTATAGCCGTTAATGGATTTTCGTCGATTTATAGATACGCAATGCACCATTAATAAAACCTGACAAATATCGTTATATGAAGTTGCGATGATATATTCTCTTTTGATGGAATTCATATTTTTGAATATATACTTACTAGTGAATTTAAAATCTTTTCGTGTATAAATTATAATAGTAAAGTTGGTATCTTTGAGGGCTTATTAGGGACCTATAGAGATTGGAAAAAAATAATTGTATGTCAAATAATTTCGTTTATACCACTCAGAGATGACGGCTAAGATGCACGGCTCGCAAAGTGTAGTATAGATGGCGCTGCATTCAATTTAGAATGTTTATCAGTTTAGTACCAGATCTTCTAGCAAAATATACATTGTATAATCTTATTCTAATTTCCGCAGTATCTTTAAAAAATTAAACCGCCGCGAGGAGCATATTTACTTACTTAAACTAAATAATGTTTACCCTTGACATTATTCCCTAAGCCCCCAACCATAGTCTTGTCTTCTTGTGCCGATAGAAGCAGTTTTAAACCTACCCAGTTGTGGCTGCATATTTTAGGAGTAACGACTGCCAAGTGACCTCGGTAACGCAATAAAAACAAAAATGGAGGTCTTGAAGATTTGTTTTGCTTGTTTTTGTCAAGATTTTAGTATTGTTTTATGTAGTACTGCTTCGTGTTTGATTTTGTTAAGTCTTTTTTATCATTGAGACACATGTCTAATATTTATAGTAATAACATTTTTACTTTATATCATCATCATCGTCACTAGTATGTTCACTGTTGCACAT